ACGTTCCGTGCCTGTTCAATGAGGCGCAGCAGGTAATGAATCAGGTAAGGCATCATTGCATTGTTCCGAACTTTGATTTAGTTCTTGATATTTCTCATGTCTTTTTTCTTTTACCCTTTTGCAGGCCTCGGTACTTCATCACGAAAGGTTTTTTCGGTACCGGACTAAGGTCAACCAGCTCAAGCTTGAGGTCAAGGAGCTTGTCGAGAAAAGAGATATGTACAAGCTCCTCAGCGAGCAACACGAAGAGGCCATCAAGGGCCTTCAGGACGAGCTGGACGAGGCTTCGAACCTGAGGCGGGAATATGCCGATATGGTTAAAAAGGTAAAGGTTTTTGAGGTTAGCAATGAATACTTAGCCATGGCTACTAACAACCAAACCTCGTAGATTCAGCAGAAGATTGACCAGATCGACCAACTCCGAGCAGAAATGAATGAGGTCCAAGCCATGGCCGATGTTTGGAAGAGCAAAATGGATCGGCTGGCTTCAGAGAAGGAAATCGTCTAGGTGCAGATGGCATCGGTAGAGGTTCAACTTCGGGAGGCAAAAGAGAAAGCCAATAAGCGGTCCCAGCTGAACGATGAACTCCGAGCGCAATTGAGCTCGGCTCTGGCAGAGTGGGATGCCCTCAGTAGTGAATGTGAAGCTATAAATGCTCAAATGTGCACAACCTCCACCGATGCTGAAGAGATGGTGGCCCAGTATAGGGCCGATGTCGAAGCAGCCTAGGCCTGCCTAAAGACCACTATTGAGTATGTGAGGCGGTTATCTCGGAGGGAGACCCTAGAAGAGATCCATGCTCGAGGCTTCGACCTATCTACCGAGATCGAGGAGGCAAAAAGACTTAGGATCGAGGCCAAGAAGCTAGCTGATCCCGAAGACGAAGAGGGCTCCGAGGGCTCTGAAAAATCCGAACGCCCTGATGGTGCCGATGATGGGTCGAGTTCATGTGAAGATCAGGCGTGGATGCCTTAGGGTTATTTTTGTTTTTGCTTTTGTATCCTGTACATATATTTTGTTGAGGCCTTTTTTGTAGGCCTTTGTAAAGAAAGATATAACGGAATATAAAAAAAATTTCCTTTTGGCAATTTTCAAGTCTATTATCCTCAACATCTTTTACGATTGCAAATTTTTCTAATGCCTTAGCACAGAATCTAACGTAGTAATAAGTCATTTTTTGGAGGTCCGAACAAGAGCTGTCCTCGATGCAATTTTCACTCGAACTTATTGAAGCTCGGAGTGACCAGAATTTTTTCCGAAGATGCTTGTTTAAATGTTTTTACACTATATCTTTGTCGAGGGTAACTTTTGAACAGGTTTGGAATTTTGTTGAAGGCCTTATGTTTTGATTACGGGCTTCGGACGTCTCCGAGCCATTTTTTAGGGTGGCCGTAGTCTTTTAGGTTTAGGCACTGCCTAATAGGTTTTGTGCCTCCGGGTTTCGATAACCCGAGCCGCCTGAACTTGTCTCGGACGATAGTCCCCGAGTGGGGGTAGCCCTTTGGGCTCGGATAAGAGTGGACCTTGGGCTCGATACTTTCTGGGTAGTAATAGCGCTTAGGCTTGATACTTTTAAGAAGCAAAAATATTTGTTAGCAAGGTAGAAACTTTCTTTCATTTCTATACGAAACATACAAGATTGTAAGCATGAAAAGGCTCGTATTAAGGCCAAGGTGGCCTACGTGGGCACGGTTTACTTGGCCGTTTGGCCCTTATAATAAACATTAACCACCGATCCTAGACTGTTCGAACATAAAATTTCCTTCCTTGCTAAAAACGATGACCCAAGGGTAATGCCCCCAGTATTCGAGGTCGATCTTTGAGAGGGCTCGAATACTGTTGATGCGACCATTGACTCCGATTGAAAACTAGTCTTTGATTCTAAGTTAGCATGGTTTACTATTGCCTCGTTAAAAACCTTTCAAAAAACCCATTTGGGACAAAACCGGTTCAAGGGAAAAAGAGTGCAACACGCGCTTTCAGACCTAACTGCCACATTCTCCATTGGTTATATCCTACAAGTTTTTGTCCAATTCGTAATATTAAAGAAAAGTGAATGAGGTCGTACCTTAGCAGTAATATCGTTTTAAGTAGGTCACATTCAAGTTGTTTGGTAGCTGTGCGCCATTTCCTGCTTCGAGTTTACATGAACCTTCCCAATTCGGTCCTAGCTTCCATTCGTTCGGGTTCCAGGTGTTATGTGTTACTCTTCTTAACACCAAATCCCCAATGTTGAAGTGTCGGAGGCTAGCTCTACGATTGTAATATCTTTCTATCCGTTGCTTTTTGACGGCCAGTCGGACTAGAGCGGCCTCGTACCTCTCATCCAATAGTTCTAGGATCGTGCTCATGGCCTCGCCGTTTGATTCTTCGGCTGCATATTATAACCTGAGGCTTGGTTCTCCCACCTTGACCGGTATTAAATCTTCGGCACTGTAGACCAACAAAAACGGGGTGGCCCTGGTACTGGATTTTGAGGTCGTGCGGTATGCCCATAAGATTTCGGGCATAATTTCCTTCCATTTTCCTTTGGCATTGGTAAACCTTTTCTTAAGGTTTTGAAGGATTGTCTTGTTCGTCGATTCCGCCTTTCTGTTCCCCCTAGGATGACAAGGTGTTGATAAGATCTTTTTGATCTTATGTTCCTCGAAAAATTTGCTTACCTTGCTGCCGATGAACTGCTTCCCGTTATCACACACTATCTCGGCCGGTATACCGAACCGACATATTATGTTGTCCCAAATAAAGTCGATGACTTCTCTTTCCCGGACCTTTTCAAACACTTGAGCTTCGACCCATTTAGAGAAATAGTCAGTCATAAATAGTATAAATTGAGCCTTACCGGGTTCCCGCGGTAGGGGACCGGCGATGTCCATCCCCATTTCATGAATGGCCAGAGCGATAGGATCGAGTGTAGCAACTCCTCGGGTTGGTGGATCATTGGTGCGTGCCTCTGACAGCCATCGCATTTACGCACAAAGTCTTTCGCATCTTTCTCTATGTTAATCCAGTAATAGACGGCTCTGATTATCTTACAAACCAACAATTCTGCCCCCGAATGGTTTCCGCAGGTGCCTTCGTGAACTTCCTTCAAAACATATTCGGTGCCAAGCATATGGGCGAGTGGGCCATCAAACATTCTTCTGAATAGAGTTTCTTCGAACAGGCTAAACCTGGCTGCCTACGTGCGCAGAGCTCTCGATTCTTTGGGATCCGAGGGCAACTTCCTAGTCTTTAAATAGACTATATACTTGTTTCTCCAGTCCCCAGTTAAACTTGTTGAGTTTATCTCGGCATGGCCTTCTTCCATACTGATTTCATGAGTTGTACGACCGTTCTCGAGCTGAATTCATCATCATCAACCGACAAACCCAAGTTAGCCAGAGTATCGGCCTCGCTGTTTTGATCCGGGGCACGTGTTGTAGGGTCCATTCCTTGAATCGATGTAGCGTTACCTATAGTTTATCCAAGTACGCATTCGTTCCTCTTTCACTTCGGCCCCCAAGCTTTTAGCTAGTTCGAGACCTACAATCATGGCCTCATACTCGACCTCATTATTAGTCAATTTCTCAGTTCTAATAGATTGCCTAACTACGTTACCCGTAGGCGGCTTCAACACGATGCCGAGTCGGAACCTTTTGCGTTCGAGGCACCGTCCGTATAGAGGGTACAAATTCTCGAGGAAGTCCCCGAGGTCAACAACAATTCCTTTTCGACTTCGGGTATTTAGGCCGGCGTAAAGTCGACCACGAAGTTTGCCAAAATTTGAGATTTGATGGTGGTTCGGGGTCGATATTCGATATCGTACCCGCTAATTTCCATGGCCCATTTGGCCAATCGTCCCGAGAGCCGGGTTTGTGAATTATGTTCCTCAATGGGTATGTAGTTACGACACATATGGGATGTTATTGAAAATATGACTTTAACTTCCTGGAGGCGCTTAGCAAAGCGAGCGCCAATTTCTCCAGGTGAGGATACCTTGTTTTGGCCTCGCCTAGAGTCCTGCTAACATAATAGATAGGAAATTGCGTACCTTCCTCTTCCCGGACTAAGACTCCACTTATCGCTATCTCAGATACCGCTAAGTACAGGTACAACTTCTCGTCTGCCTTCAGAGTATGAAGCAAAGGTGGACTCGAAAGGTACTGTTTGAGTTCTTGCAAAGCTTGCTGGCACTCTAGGGTCCACGAAAAGTTATTTTTCTTCTTCAATAATGAAAAGAACCGGTGGCTCTTATAGGAAGACCTTGATATGAACCGACCCAGGGCGACTATGCGTCCGGTCAGCCTCTGAATGGCCTTGACATTGTCCACCACGGTGATGTCTTCTATAGCTTTGATTTTGTCGGGATTGATCTTGATTCCCCGGTTAGATACCATGAATCCAAGGAACTTCCCGAACTCGACCCCGAATGCACATTTCTCCGGGTTCAGCTTTATATTGTATTTCTTCAATATGTCGAAGGTTTCCTTTAAATGTTCCAAATGGTTCTCTGCTCGCAGGGACTTAACTAACCTGTCGTCAATGTAAACCTCCATTGATTTTTCTTTTTGTTCTTCAAACATCTGGTTTACTAGGCGTTGATATGTGGCACCGACATTTTTTAGTCCAAACGGTATTACATTATAAAAATAGGTGCCGAATTTAGTGATGTTTTTTCTTGATCGCCCAGGACCATCTGGATTTGGTTGTACCCGGAATAGGCGTCGAGAAAATAGAGTATCTCGTGGCCGGTCGTCGCATCGATCATGCGATCAATGTTAGGCAAAGGAAAAGAGTCCTTAGGGCATGTTCAAGTCTTTGTAATCTACACACATTCTTAACTTATTTCCCTTTTTAGGCACTACCACTATTTAGCTAACCAGTCCGGGTTCTTAACTTCCCGAATGCAACCTATTTTAAGGAGTTTGGATACCTCATCTTTGATGAATGCATGTTTGACTTTGGACCGAGGCCTCCTCTTCTGCTTACCGGGTGGAACTTCGGATCCAAGCTCAGCTTATGGGTAGTTATTTCTGGCGGGATACCTGTCATATCAAGATGAGACCAAGCAAAACAATCCATATTAGCTATAAGGAATTCAATGAGTTTTTTCCTGAGCTCGAGAGTTAACCCCGTACCCAGGTATACCTTCCGATCGGGCAAATGTTAGATCAATATTACTTGTTCCAGCTCCTCGACTGTTGACTTGGTGGCATCGGAATCATCAGGGGCGACAACGACCAGAAAACTCCGTAATCATCATCCTTGCCTACTTATTGCTTATCTGGTTCGGTCGGGACATGCGTCGGTGATTGCTATTTAGTTTTTTCCTTCCTAACCGATTTTGGGTTCTTTGATGTCGAGAGGACGGACACCAGGATTACCTCTTCGACCGCGAACATTTCTTTTACGGTCGGCTGTTCTCCGTAAACTGTTTTGATTCTTCCCGGTGTGGGGAACTTTAATGCCTGGTGTAGTATCGAGGATATTGCCCTCATGTTGTGAATCCACGTTCTTCTAAACAGAGTGTTGTACCTCATATCTCCCTTGATGACGTAGAACTTCGTTTCCTGAATGGTTCCGGCGGTGTTCACTGGCAGGGTTATCTCTCCTTTAGTAGTTTCACACACCATGTTGAATCCGTTTAAACCTCGGACTGCATGCACTATTTGGTCTTGTAAACCTATCTGTTCCACGACACTCGATCTGATGATATTGGCCGAGCTACCTGGATCAATTAACACACACTTAACTCGAGATTTATTTATGAGTTTAGATATTACCAGTGCATTGTTATGTGGTTGTACGATGCCTTCAGCATCCTCGTCGTTGAAAGATACGGTTCCCTCTGGTATATAATCTCGAGTCCATTTTTCCTTTGTAATGGAAACCTTAGTGCGCTTTAGCATCGGTCCTTGAGGGATGTCAAATCCACCAATGATCATGTTAATGACGCGCTGAGGTTCCTCTTGCTCGGTCTGCTTGTTGGAGTCCCTATTCCTGAAGTGATTTTTGGCTCGATCACTCAGAAATCCTCGGAGGTGTCCGTTATTGAACAATCGGGCTACTTCTTCTCTCAGTTGTCGGCAGTCTACGGTTCTGTGGCCGTGAGTGCCATGATACTTACACATTAGGTTGGGGTCCCTTTGGGCAAGATCATACTGCAACGGTTAAGGCCATTTGGTATCTTTGATATGCCCAATGGCGGTTATGATGCTAGCAGCGTCGACACTGAAGTTGTATTCCGATAATCTCGGTACCTCCTGCGCCCCTAGTGCCTTCTCGAAACTGTTTTTATTCATGAGTCCCCGACTATTGTGGCCTCGATCGTTCCTTTTTTCACTCATGGCAGGGTTGCATCCTGATCCATTGCCCCTTCGATCTCCGTTGTATGGTTGATACCGATCTCTACTCGGTCTTGGTTCATGGTCATAGGCTCTTTTAGACCTGCCATTAGCTCTGATGGGATACACGGACCTAGAGGCCCCCCCGAGCTAATCATCCCCCACTCTGATTTTCGATTGGTACCTATTATAGACGTCAGCCCAAGTTACCGCCGGGTATTCGATCAAATTATGTTTCAGCTGCAATGAAGCCAAAGAGCTTTGGGGGTTGAGTCCTTGAGTGAATGCTTGAACAACTCAATCGTCCTCAACCGGGGGAAGATCCATCCTTTCCATTTAAAACCTCAACACGAACTCCCTGAGCATTTCGTTATCTCTTTGCTTGACTTTAAAGAGGTCTGATTTTCTGGTCTCGACTTTGATGGCCCCGACATGAGCTTTTACGAAGGCATCCGCAAGCATAACAAACGAGTCAATGGAATTAGGGGGCAGGTTGTGATACCATATCATTGCCCCTTTAGACAGGGTTTCCCCGAACTTTTTCAGTAGAACTAACTCGATTTCGTCATCTTCCAAGTCATTTCCCTTGATGGCACACGTGTAGGAGGCCGTGTTCATTCGGATCCGTGGTCCCGTTATACTTTGGAATTTCGGGCATACGAAACTTCTTCGGGATCGGTTTTGGAGCTGCGCACGGAGGGAAAGGCTTTTGGACTAACTTCTTGGAATCCAGGCCTTTCAATATCGGGGGTGCTCTTGGGATTTGATCAACCCTGGAGTTATAGGTCTCCACTTTTTTGTCAATTGCTTCGATTTTCTTTTCTCCCGATTCCACCCGTTTTGTTAGTTCTGCATCTTTATTATCTGCGATTGGCCCCGGGTTCAGCTTCAGCCGGTCTTTCTGTGGCCGGTTCATTTCTGCGAGTGTTTTCCAGGGATGGTTCGGGCTCATCTCTGCTAGGGGCGCGACTTTGTTTCTCTAACTTGGCTATTGCTTCCTGTTGAGCCTGTAACATTTTGAAGATCACCCGCAAGTTGATCCCATCACCTTCGTCGTCGTGTGTACTCCAGGCTACCGATCGGGCTCCTACGAATACTGTTTTTGGGGTCGGTAGGCAAGTTTGCTTCGATAGCCACATGTGAGTTAGCATCGATCGGGTCCGCGACTAGAACTCCGTGGGAGTCAGCAGGGAGCACCTCTTTCTGGGCACCACATTGTTGTTTTCGCCATGGTATCCAGACTCAACATCAACGTTCAAATGGGAAGATTGGGAATTTGACATTTTTAATTTGACCTGAAATTAAAAACTCAAAGAACAAGTGTAAAATATAATGCATTATGGAAATTTGTATCAAATTGCCACTATTATCCCTAGCCCCACGGTGTGCGCTAAACTATTTACCCTTAAAACGGATAACGATTAAATTTATATGTGGTTTTAAGGATACGCGGATTAATTCAATACAAATGATAAATTGCGTTCGAATAAGCAGATAAAAGACGTAATAAATTATCAAACCGATAAGGAGAATGATCCCGGACTCAATAACAACTTAATGAAGTGCCTGCCTTCGATCCCGGGTTCACACTAATGAAGAACTGATGAACCAAAGTAAGAATTTTGAATAACAGAGAATAAGAGTATATTGCTTTGATATGCGTGTTACAATGTGTCCCATGAATAATAAGCTTTCCCCTTTATATAGTAGGGGAGTTTTACCCTAAGTACAATTCTAAAAAAGATAAAAATCTTCCGTTTCGCCAATCACTGATTTTCTGCCGATACGAGCCGAGATTCACGCCGTGATATCCGGTTAGGCACGGACATCACGACCCTTTGTTAGTCGTGTGCAGATGTTCGCCGAAGTCTCAATCCTCAAATCGGACCTCGAGGATATGGTCCCGATATACCCGAAGGCAAGTGTTTTGCCCGAGCCCCGATACGAGGGGTTCTTTTCTCTGACTCCGATACATTACGGTCACGTTCCTGCTCCGTTTGGCTCACTGGGAAGTCGAGTCATGCAGCGAGCTCGGTTTTACCCGTATACAAATATGTAAAAAGTACTCTAAACAGGTAAGTAATAACAGTAAAAGAGTTAAAATACACCTACCGCCAACCCTGTCCCATATGAGGATTTGAACGTTTCGACATGAATTTCGAAAAATTTAATATTGTCAAAATTAATAAGTTTGTATGAGAGCCTTCTTTGTATTGTCACTTAGTTCACCCGTTGAGAGAGGATATAGCTGACCATCGAATAAAATAAAGAATCTGAAGCATTTACTAATTTAATAATATGGATTGTGATAAAAATGATTTACAAATAATTTAGGATGTTAAGTTTTGTATAAAAAGCATGCAATCCAAGTAGTTACAAAATCTCAGAAACAAAAAGGAAAACTAGGAAAAGATAGAAATTTATGGGTTCTTTAACAGCTTCACCACAATTACTAGTAGTAGACTTCAATAATGAAAAACTAAGGCCAGGCACAGCCACTTGGGAATCTACATGTAAAGATATCAGGTTTGCCTTTGAAAACCATGGATGCTTCATAGCACTTTATGACAAAATCTCACCCCAGCTTCAAAAATCCATTTTTCAAGCTTCACAACAATTATTTGAGCTCCCTTTAGAGAAAAAAGTTCTAAACACCAATGAAAAACCCTATCATGGTTATGTTGGCCAAATTCCATTTCTACCTAATCATGAAGCCTTTGGAATTGACTATGCAACTACTACTCAAGGTATTCAAAGCTTTTCCAACCTCATGTGGCCTCAAGGAAACGACTTTTTTTGGTAGGCGAATTCAGAATTTAAATTTATTCGGTTCAAAATATATCTGACATATTTATACCGTGGAGTACATTTTTAAACTTCTTTCGGCATACTCACATATATTGTTCAATATTACCTGCCTTTCTTGAGCCGATGGTCTATCGAAACAGCCTCTCTACCTTCACAAGGTAGGAGTAAGGTTTGCATATACATTACCCTCCCCAGACCCCTCTTGTGGGACCGCACTAAGTATGTTCTTATAGTTGTTCTACATATATTGTTCGATATGAAATCATTGGATTTAGTTGAACTCATTCTAGATACGTCTCTGATCACAACTTTATACTTCGATTTACACTTAGAAAATAATTCATTTTTTGTTTTTTTGCCTTTGTTATAGTGAGAATTCGTTGATGTTTTCAAAGATTGTGGCGGAGTTGGACCAGAGAGTTGTAAGAATGCTATTCGAAAGCTATGGAGTAGAGAAGAACTGTGAATCATACCTTGAATCAACCACGCATCTACTTCGATACCTGAAGTATGACGCACCAAATACAAAGGAAAATAGTATGGTTTTTCCCCCACATACTGATAAAACATTCACGACCATACTATATCAAAATCACATTTCAGGCTTGGAAATTCAAACTCGAGATGGACAATGGTTAACTCTGGATTTCCCACCCTCTTCTTTTGTAGTCATGGCTGGTGAAGCATGCAGAGTAAACTTTAAACTTTCTCGCGATCTTATATATTTTTATTTACTGTCAGTGTATAGAAGTTAAACTTTTTAAATTTTACAGGGGTGGAGCAATGATCGCGTTCTTACGCCTGTCCATAAGGTGATTATGGATATAAGTGGGAATGAAACAAGATACACTGTTGGAATATTTACTTTTCTAAAGGATGATAAAATGATAGAAGTGGCAGAAGAACTAGTTGATGAAGAACATCCATTGCAGTTTAAGCCATTTGTTCATATTGATTTGATAAAGTTTTTTGACACAGAACGTGGTCGGAGATCGCAGAATTTAGTCAAAGACTTTTGTGGTGTTTGATAATCACGTTTAATTAATACTTAATAATATCCTAGCTGTTTTCCATGTAATTTGCGTCTACTCTTGTCTCTTTAATTTTTGTATTCCTGCCGAGTAATTTACTTCTTCTGTTGCTTGTATGTATAATGAATCCAATAAGATATACATTGTACGTGATATATAGTTGTGCAATGTGTTCTCGTTTTTAGATGATGAATATTGTTTGCCAACTTTTAAAATTTCGTGGGAATTAATGCTGAAAACACCCTAATTTTTAATCTGCAGGTTAGATCTTACTACTACTACTACTCTTCTACAAAAGCCTAGTGTGCTTAGAGGAATTTCTTTCACGCTCTAATTTAGTGACGAAAAGACAATTTGTTGATCTTTTTTTCCTTACAAACAAAATAGTCACCTATTTGCGTTTCGAAGTCTAAGGAAATAAAATAAAATCGCATTCCACTACTAGAAAACTGTCAAAATCCATCTAGACCATACCGACCGAAATTGATCGAAAAGTAATACCGACCGAAATCGGTCGGAAATAAAGTAAATTGATCGAAAAAGTCAAACAACAAATTGTAAATAAAAATACCGACCGCAATCGGTCGGAAAACATGGTCCCACAAAAAAAGAAACTTTGCTTTATTTGACACAGCTGAAATTTTCGACCGACTGCGGTCAGAAAATGGTCAATCTTTGACCAAAGCCTGGTCAGACTTGCATACTATCTACAAAAGAAATGATTAATTAAAAAAAATTATAGAACACCGGCAGATGTCGGTCGGAAATTCTAATTTATTTTTTCCGCCTTGCATCAATTGTTATTTTTATAATCAAAAAGTTAATTTTCATATAATTATAAAAATACCGACCGATGTCGGTCAGAAATTCTAATTATTTTTTCCCGCCCTCCGTCAATTAATTTTTTTGATAATAAAAAATTGTTTTCAATATAATTATAAAAATACCGACCGAAATAGGTCGTTATTAGTGGTCAAAATAGTCAAACACTTATAGATTATTGTTACTTACAATTTACATAGTATATATAACATCCTAAATTGTATATATATTTATACACACACACACAAACACAAACACACACACACACACACACACATACTCCAATTGTGTGATTTGACCGAGTATATGTTATTGTTGCTATAACTTAAGTTTTAATATAGCACTACATCTTATAGCACTATACATTTTGTTTTTAGACAAGTTACCGAGCGAAATTGGTCGGTATTAGTTGTCAAAATGGTCAAGCATTTATAGATTATTGTTACTTACAACCTACATATATATAACATCTTAAATTATATATATATATATATCCTAAATTTTATATATATTTATATATACACACACATACAATTCTGACCGCTTCGGTCGGAATTGAACAATTTTAAAAAAATGAATAATTAAAATTCCGACCGAAGTCGGTCACTAATTTAAAAATAATTAAAAATTATTTTTAACGATATCGGTTGAATTCGGTTGATAAGATGATTTTGTATCAGATAACTTGGTTAAAGTGTGTTGACAATTACCGATCGACTTTGGTCGGAAATATCAACCGTCAGCGGTCGTTCCCCATTAGCGACTATTATTTTTTCGACTAATTAATAACGGTCAAAAATCGGTAAGTTTTTGTTCAATTCCGACCAACTTCGGTTGGTTTTTCTAGACGCTTTATGATAGTTTTTAGTAGTGTTCTTGAATTGCGATGTACAAGTGAATTATTCAAAATAAGAATCCGCGAGCATCTCGAAGGAATCTATTGAGTGCTCGGGTAGAAGAGAATACCATGTCAAGGCCCCTTTTGTGAGGGTCTCCCAGAACTTCTTCAGCAAGACTGACTTAATTTCGTGCGGAGCTAAGTTGTTTCCCTTCACCGACGTTGTGTAGGTGGTGATGTGCTCCTGAGGATCCAAAATCCCATCATATTTTGACACGTCTGGTATTTTGAACCACTTCGGAATTAACTCCGGTGTCATGCTCGGTTTGAACGGCAACTGGTGTATTTCTTTGAGCATGGTCCTTTCAGCACTTGCAACGCGCTCGGGATTTGGTCCATTCGGGCGTTTATTTCCCT